GTGAGTTGCACTATTCCTGTCTATCTTCTGTATACGGTCCGTAATTCACGAAACTGTTTTTCTACTTATAATTCAAAAACTAAGCTTCTGATAAAAAATTTGGTAAGAGGAAAAAATCATCTTAGAATCGACTCAGGAATATAACATTTTTAAGGACAAACGATTGTTTTGAATCATCTTGTATATATGTATACATATAGTATAAATGCAATTCGTTTTATGTAACAAATGCTTTTTATACGTTATAATATTTTTAATAAAAGTTTCAAATATACTTATATATATTCATGTACGTCATTTATATGTTATTTATTGTGAAATTTGATATAACATTACTAGGTCTATTGAAAATATATTTTATTATCTTTTTAAATATTTTATAAAAGTTGATTTTAATTTCGCTTTTAATCATATTTCAAAATTTCTATTAAATCTGAAATATTATTGCTTTTAAAAGTAATATTTATTTTGAGATAAAATGGATTCTTTCATGTATTAAGTGCGAGGCAGTATATCATGCTGTTTGCGATTTGGAATGGTATAACTTGAATTCAAAAAAGGCAAGAAATATTATTTTGTTAATGATACGCACTAGTCATCCTTTCCATATTACTGCAGGAAAAATTGTTCCATTAACAATGGCTTCGTTTTGCAGTGTAAGATTATTTATAATATCTGTATTTAATTTAATTATTTTAGACAAAATAAAATTTCTTCATATGCTCTCTGCTTATAATATTTTAAAAAAAGGGCTCATGTTTAAATGAAAAATATAATCTTGATGTACATATATTGTATAGATGGAAATATTAATTTATTTTATATCTATTCTAAGTCTTGTTGTGTAAATCTTGAAATATACTTATATAAAGATTTGATGTTTCATTAGTAATTTCTGTTATATTTTACGTTAAAAAAACTTTCTCTTGTGTTATATATTAAATATTTATAACTTAGATATTTATAACTTCTATTACAACTATTTTTGAAAAAAAGGTTCAAACTTATAAACAAAGGTAATTAATGAAGATAATTATTTTAGATATTAAAAACGTCATCTGGCTATATAACATATTTATTGGCTAAATATGGTTAAATATTGAAATGGTAATAATAATATATTTACTTATTTGAGAACGGAATGGATATTGCACTCAAATAATTCTTAGAAAAACAAGTTTATGTTGTAATTTCTAGAAATAAAATTTTGAATTATCTATCAGTATTTCTTATTTATTATAAATTATAATAAAATTAAATATTATAAAATATTTTGTAATATAATTGTGATGAATAATATTTTCATTGTCTGTCATAAGACAAATGTTAATTTTATTGAGATTATCTTTTTTCATATTTTTTAATAAATATATTGTGAGTATAATCTAATTTATTTCTGTATTTAATGTATTTAATAAAAAATTAGCTAATTATTAAAATGTAAAATATAAATATAAATTGTACAGGGTGTCCTGCAGCATGTTGATTTTCTTAATACGAAATTCATATGATAAGCACGTATTAATGCATAAACTTTAATTGTGAAAAAGAATTTCCAGATCTATAAAGTTAATAAAAAATGAGAGCAATACAAAAATTATTGCGTTTTGTCGGTAATACAGACAAATTCAGCATCGCCTTAAACTCATAAATTAAATTAATTAATGAAGATAATTATTTTTAGGTATTAAAAACATTATGTAGCGTAACTTATTTACTATCTAAACGTGGTTAAGATTGCAATAATAATAATAGTAATTATAATAATATATTCATTTGTTCAAGAATAGAATGGATATTGCATTTAAATTCTTTAAAATGAAAAACAAGTTTATTGTAATTTTTAGGATAGAAATAAATTTTTGAGTTAATTGGGTTTTTCTTATTTATTATAAGTTACATTATTAAATATTTTGTGATATGATTGCGATGAATGTTTTCATTGTTTGTTATAAGAATAAGTCTATTGAGATTAATTTTTTTCATGTTTTTTGATAAATATGAATAAATATGAATATCGAATATAATCTGATTTATTTCTATATTCTATATATTTATTTAAAAAAATTTGCTAATTATTAAAATGCAAATCTATATTATACATCGGTTTTACTGATAATAAAACAAAATTAAAAATAATTACATAATAACATTTTTATTTACTTATTCTGGAAAAGTAGTAAATATAAATTTGTTAGTTTTAAAATAAATTAATTAATTATATATATATAAATTTAAATTAGAAGTTTTTTAAGAATTATAATAATAAAATATTATTTCTGATAATGTAAAATATCTTATATACATATATGTAATATATGTAAATAAAATGAGAATAACTTTATAAGCATCTTAATCATAAGTTATCTTATTAAACTGTGTATAGAAAATTGCGTTTATTACACTAAAGAAAATTACAATAAAAATTTGATATACTCATAAAATTATAGTTTATCAGTTTTATCTTTTTTAACATATTGTCTGTCGTTCCGATCGAGTTTTTGATATTCCTTTCTTACTTTCACAAAAGTGTATTAAAAATTCAACAGCACGTTATCGGTATTGATTAATGGTATATACAGAACATTGGAAAAACTTCTATAACAAGTTGAACAACTTGTTACTTATTGCGATGTATTTCTCTTTTTAGTAACGCGAAGCAATTGATATTTTTTGTGATGAATTCTGTTTCTAAAGTTTTTTCTTTTTTCTTTTTTATGAACTCAAGAGGGATAGTATTTGTAATATTTAATGCATTTTTCGACGAAGTAACCATTTGTTGTACTTATATTACGAGCATGCGCGATGATCGTCTTATGTGATGAAGAAGCAAGTTCTATCACGTTAGCCTTTAACATGAACAGTATTAAACATTCAGGTTACAAAGGTATCGTATTTGTATTATATGTTTTAAATTACAATGAAAATCATTATCGAAAAATCTTTAAATTATTAAAAATAACATATACAAAATTATTACAATAAGAAATATTATTAAACAAAAGAATTTTTTACATTGAAACACTGTTTGTAAATATATATATGTAATTTAAAAAATTTTTTATCTTTTATCACAATTTTTATCTCTTTTTTTGTTTAATTTATATATCAATTTATATATTTTTATTTTAAATTTAAATACGTATCTAGATATTAAAATTTTTTTTAATTGACAGTTATTTTAGTATTGTGTGAGATCAAATCACGAAACTTTCTATAGATTTTTAATAATTTTTATAAATATTTAATTTTATAAATCGTAGATATATAAAAGAGTTTTTTTAATTATTCTTTTTTTTAATAAATATTTAAATATTTTTTATATTTATTATAATAAATCTTAATTAAAGTCATTATAACTTTTTGCAAAAATATTTTTTAATATTATATTATTTATAGATTTTGTATGGGCAGTTGAACTAAATCGATTTGGTTTGGAATTAATTGGTTTATGGCCTAAAACATATGAAATAACTAAGAATAACTACATGTCTGATCTTCGCATAAGCATAATTTTCATTTTAATAACTTTTGTTACTGGTATTCCACTTGTATTGTCTCTTATACGAGTTCGTCGTGATATGGTACTTGTAATAGACAACTTACAAGTTACGTTGCCTTTAATGGTAGCCGTGTTGAAACTTTTTATGATGAGATGGAAACGATCAGGTTGGCCTAAAATTATTTAAACGCTTTAAGCTTGTATACTTAATATTTTTTTATCTATTCGTATCTATTTATATCTCTTCGTATTGTATTAATATTAAAATTATTAAAAGATATATATGAGATTTTTTTTTTATAATATAAATTAAAACAACATTAAATTATTTAATAATGTATTAATTATTTTGCTTTTTCTTTGTAAATTAATGAATAATATATTTACGCAATATGTCACCTTGTATTTCCAAGCTTTCTTACCCATTGTAAAAATGATGACAGAGGACTGGATATCATTAAAATTAAGTATAGAAAGGGATGTGATGATGAAGAGAGCGCGAACTGCTCGATTGATTGTAATTTGTGGATACGTTTTGATGACAATGATTTTTACTATGATCATTATTTTTCCTTGTTTCGGCATATCATTCAGACACATAACAAATCTGACAGATCGAGATAAATTGTTACCGCTACAGGCGTATTATTTTTACGACACTGATAAAAGCCCGCAATTTGAACTTACATTTATCGTTCAAGCCTTAACGATTTTCTTAGGAGCTGTAGCTTATACGTCAGTAGATGCTTTCTTTGGACTTGCCGTCCTTCATATTTGCGGTCAATTAGAAAACTTCAGATGTCGTTTGGTCAACTTGGTTTCATATAAAGATTTTAACAGTGTTTTACGCAACAACGTGATCATTCATCTACGACTCATCAGGTTTTCGCAGCTCTTAATTATAATAATAAAATGACTTTGCACAAAATAAAAATCAGCAAAACCTGGGAAAAAATTGAATTATTGGTATTTATTTCTTTTAAATAACTAATATCTTTTTCTGCGTAATACCAATGTTATAAATATATTTCTTATACATCATTTTAAACATATTTATAATTAAAATTTTGCGAATGTTTTATTAATTGTCTTTCTCATATTGATTCCTCTTTAAAGTATACTTTTATTTAAATACATTTTTTTTATTGAATTTGATGTGATACCTATTTAAATATGTTTATAGGTTTGCCGATAAGATTGAAGATGCATTTACGATAATGATGTTGGGTCTTGTATTTTACTTTGGTATTGTATTCTGTCTATACGGTTTTCTGCTGATTACTGTAAGTTCATATGTTACAGACATTAAAGTCATATTAAATATTCAGTTTCGATATACAGAATTGTTACTATATATTGTTTATAATTACAATATCATTTATTTCATAAATTTATACTGATTTGTTCTTATCAAATAAGATGATGTATATTTTACAGCTGATTACCAATGAAATGAGCAACATTCCTTTTTCTCAAGTATTTTATTTATTGATTGGTATTATTACTCTTTTAATACATACTTTTCTTTACTGTGGGGCTGGAGAATTAATAGCAAAACAGGTAACACATATATTTATATTCATAAAAAATTAAATATTAATATTAATTTATTTTTATGCATTTACAATCTATTTAATAATATATTTTGATTAAAAAACTATTTTTTGTAGATTTTATATAAACAAGTTAATAATCTTTATTATAAATCATGTTATTCAAATTTTTTTTATGTATATTTAATTTATAGTATCTTTTATAAAATTATTTGCATAAAGATTAATTAAAATTGAAATTAATTTTTTCTTTTTCTTATAGTTTCGTTTCTTCTTTCAGTATTTATCTTTTATAAAATAGAAAT